CAAACTGCAAAAAAAAAAAAAACTGTCCATGAAAAACTTGGCAAACAAAAATGGAGAAATATATGGGAAACTCATTTCCAAACACTATTTATCAAATCAGAAAAACCAACCAACTGCAGGTACTAAAAAGATAACTCACTCGTTATAGTATGTACTGTACTACCTACAGCAGGTCTAAACATCACATCCTTTGTAAAACTTAACACTGAAGGGAATGAACTGAGAGATACTGAGAGAGATGCCATAAAACCACAGCGTCCTATAGAGATCCGATTAGAATCTGTGAAAACATTAGAATCAGCGATTGAGCCGATTGTGTGAAGTCAACTGGCAAACAAAATCTAGAATTGAGCAATTGGGAAAACCATCCAGAACTCTGCAAACATGTCCTACAGGTCCACAGGAACACAACAAGCACTGCCTACAGAGCAGAAACGGCCAATCAGCTTCTGGAAGTGGGTCTAATGCAGTTCTTATGAGGCGAACACAAGACGGCACACGCTTGTCTGTCTGAAACTGTACCTGATGCCAGACCCCGTCTACAGCACATTTCATTTTATTTAATTTTATTTATTCTTTTATCTTTATCTTCATTTAAAATTATGGATTTTACCTTCAATTATACACTATTTTTTTTTCTCTTTTATTTATTAATGGAAATTGACTTGCATTTCTCAATCTGTCTGTATCTGTATAATTGCTTTAGCAATATGAATGTACAAATATCTGTCATGTCAGTAAAGCACATTAAAACTGCATTGTGAGTGGATCTCAAAGCAGAGCAGGAGTGAAGAGTGCTGTGTTTCAGTATTTCAGCCGCTGTGGGTCACGACAGGGTTCGGTTACAACGAGAGCTGATGTGTCTGCAGGGCATCTGATGGCCTTGAATTATTGACAGCATGTCGGTGATTGTGTTCCTGTGAACGAGATCTCCTGGCCTCTCGCTGTGATGAATGACCCACAGGAACGACATGTGTATATATGATCACATAGAGGGTTACAGACAGGGTCACTATGTCCAAAGAAAAGCAATGGAAAACTCAATGGAAATGAATGGACTAATTACATAGTTAACAACCACATCTGGTCACACACAAATCAAAGTCAAAATCACTTGACATGAGGATCAGTGAGGCGTTTAGCATCATGATGCCTGCAGTGTTTACAGAGGATTTGACGATTAGCCTAACGGTCCAAAAACACAGGGATCATTACAAATAACAGCCCAAGATGAACTAGAACTTAACAAATCCATCACCAGGCAGAAAACTACAAGATGATCAGTTTCTCTGAATCGGGAGTGATTTAGACGAAATCCAGATGTGCTGCATGCAGAAGAGAACTGACTCTTCTTACAGCAGCTGTTTCACAAATGGCTTCATTAAACTTTGCAAATATTAAGTTTATTTGTTACGAATGCAACTCTATTAAAATCTTTCTCTTGAGAGAATCCACAGAACTACAGCTGAAGACCAACGGTAATGGTCACAGTCTGAAATGACCACTAAAACACTTTCGCAACACAGACGAACACTCATTTTTGAAATCCTTTTCTTTTAAACATCTGCAATTTCAGCAACAATATTATGCATACCAAACATAGTCAGAAGCTATATTTGTGACCCTGGACCACAAAACCAGTCATAAGGGTAAATTTTTGGAAATTGAGATTTGTACATCATCTGTTATGATATTTCAGTGATGCTGATGGAACAGGGAAACACTCACCGATGCTGGTGGGGAAGATGTCCTCGTTATTGATCTGCATCTCTATCCAGTCCATCAGCAGGTTCATGTACTGCGGCGCGGGCAGCGGCGTGGGCTTCTTGTACTTGTTCTCGTCCTGCCATCGGTACTCGTAGCGCGGGCCGCCAGACATCACCGGACAGCTCCTGTCCGTGCAGAACTCGCACACCGTGCCGTAGATGAGGTTGATGCGGTTGAAGAAGTCCACCACGTGCACGGCCACCCAGTCGTTCAGATCCTCGCCCTGCGGCAGCTTCACCGCCGCTCTCAGATCCAGCCCCGAGCTCAGAGACGCCTGCGCCCGCTTGTGCAGCTCGAAACGCTGTGTTCCCGGCTCGAACCTGCGCTTGGGCCGGAACGTCTTGTCCTTGTTGAACACCTGTTTGAGAGCGATGGACATGACGGGTCACAGATGGAGAGGAGCGACAGGGCGGGTGGAGGACCTTCAGTCAGAAGAGCTGATCCTCTGCGTTATGACATGCTCTCCTGAAACACAAACGAGCCTTGGGTCAGAACCGGCCCTCACACGCTGATGGATGCGTCTGTTTAGACTAACAAACACTCACAGTTAGTCAAACATTTGGCTGCACTTGACAGATTTTTATGTTTCTCGTGATCTTAAACACCTATCGATCTAAAGGTGCTTCTTCTTAAAAGCTTGAAATTAACTTTGTAGACAAAGTAGTGGATACTGAGATGTTCCTCCCTCAGTAGTGTGTAGAAAGCATTGTTTTGATCACTACATTATTCCCATAAGTACAATGTATTGACTTGTTTTTATGGCTTCCGGCTTCGCTACTGTTCGGATGCTCTTGCTTACTGCTCCGCGCTTTGCTCCCTGTTTATGTACATTTCTCAGATTTTTCCAAGATTTTAACTTCAGCAGATCAGCACAGTGCTCAAACAACACATTTTTGGCACAAACACTAAACTAAAAACTTTTTGGGACAGGAATAATACTACGAAAAAGAAGACTCTTTGCCTCCCACTGCCAGCAACTTACACGAGAGTGTGTGTGGTGAGAAAGAAAATGCCTCTTGTGGAATCTACTTGCTGCATGAACTGCCACAGACTTCTACAAAGGATTGCGGTTCTTGAAACAAAGTTACTTGCTGGACTTTCAAAACAGGTGGAACACACAGCAGACCATCATCACGGACCCCCTCAGCATACAGCCGGTGAGTCCCGTGAATCTCAACAGTTAATACCAAGAGTAGAGGAACAAGCCGAAACTGATCGACAGACTAATCGATGGCACAAACAGGGAGCGAGACCCAAAGGCAAATGCAAGAAAAAGAGCAATCTTGATAACACTATATTGAGCAACTATAGACCAATATCAAATCTTCCTTTTATAGGCAAGATTATTGAAAAGGTAGTTTTTAATCAGTTGAAGAACTACTTAAACTCAAATGGATACCTGGACAATTTTCAATCTGGTTTCCGACCGCATCACAGCACAGAGACAGCGCTCATTAAGATAATAAATGATATTCGCTTAAATTCTGAATCTGGCAAAATATCAGTGCTGGTACTACTAGATCTCAGTGCTGCGTTTGACACTGTCGATCATAACATACTACTAGAGAGACTGGAAAACTGGGTCAGGCTTTCTGGGATGGTAATCAAATGGTTCAGGTCATACTTAGAAGGGAGAGGTTATTATGTGAGTATAGGAGAGCATAAGTCCAAGTGGACGTCCATGACATGCGGAGTCCCACAAGGCTCAATTCTTGCACCGCTCTTGTTTAGCCTGTATATGCTCCCACTAAGTCAAATAATGAGAAAGAACCAAATTGCAGGTTCTCGATTCCCAACCCTACTTTTCAGGAACTTCACATTTTTGATTTAGCTAATATTTTTTCCTGAAGAAAGATATACTGATGAAAGCCAAAAAATTTTTGAGGGGGGGGGGGGGGTTAAAAATACTTTCAAAAATGACTTCAGAAAGATGGCAGCATCATAATATCATTTTTACACAGAGATTGGTAGGTCTGTTAGTAAAATCTGTTGACTTTAGCAATCTTTGTTGCATTATTTGCCAATGGTGACAGTTCAAAAATGGGGAAAGAGCACTTTTCAAGTTTTTTTTTCTCCAAAGTTTGCATGTTCAACAATCTGAATATGGAGCCTCATTGAGATCGCCATATCTCTGGGAATGAATGATACAGGGGCTTGAAAATGAAGATTCCAAAAGAAAAGTTTATTAAGAACTAGAATCTAAAATCATATTGCGATATTGTTAATACTTGAGTTATAATTAAGCACGCAAACTTTGGAAAAATAATATTTATGGCACTCAGACAGGCATGTTCAATGCAGTTGTCTTGACAGAAGGAAGCGAGACACATCTCTAGTTTCAACATTATTTGTTCTTCAGACATTCCTCTTTAAAAGAAAAGAAGTATCATATTTATGCAAAGTGACCCACATTTGGTTTTTGTGTCCACTGAAAATGTGTACAATTTAACGATTTCCTCCTGGAGCCATATTGAAATTCCAATATCTTTGGAACTGACACATATAGGGGCCTTAAAAATGATGCCAAAAGGAAAATTTGTTAATACCCAATATCTAAAAGGGCATTAAGAAATCTCTAATACTTCTTGAGTTACGGTCATGAAAACTTTGGAGAAAAAAACTTGAAAAGTGCTCTTTCCCCATGGAATGACCCTATATAATCCTGCAGAGCAGACATAAATCATGGGGGTCATTAAGTGAATCTGTTGCATCTGTTTTGCTTGAGGCCAATAGTTGTGTAATGACATCATCCTGAAAAGATTCTCCAGCACACATGCTGTTCGACAGATTTAACACCCTGTAAAACATCCATCTAAAATGAGATCCAAACCAAAAGACAAAGCTGGATGTCATAAGGTGTGATGTGAAGGGTTCAAAGCATTTACTTTCATGACATCTCTGTTGCACAAATTAAATCTCATGTGGTTGCAATCCTAAACACACTCCACATCGCTCTCATGGCAGGAGTCACGCGACCCATGTCCGGATCAAGGCTGTTTGGATTACTGTACTCATTTCTGAGAGGAACACAGGGACACATTCCCACACGCCAGCTTTATGACCTGATACCAAAACGCTAGGGATGTAACGATATCAAAATCTCACGATACGATAATATCACGATATGAAGACCGCGATGCCATATTTATTGCGATATTTAAAAAAAAGACAAATGAAGAATTTGAAAAAAGTGAAAATTTTGTACATTTTAAAATTAAATTATTCTATCTAATGCACTTTGAGAGTTCAAAATTAAGCGCTCCAACCCATGTTCTTAACTAAGAAAACTAAAGTCAGTGAATTGACTTGTAGCTGAACTTTAAAGGAGACTCAACCCTCTTTTTATTTGTGATATTCTGTCTCAGTCTAAATTACAGTCACACTGGTGTTTTAGGAAGCCAAACTAATTAGAATAGAATAATAATAATAATAATAACAACAGTGACAGTAATAGCCATATATTGTAAAACAATTGCACTGTAAAATAAATGAAAATTAATATTTCATAGGTATATTATTTTTGCTTTACATTACAGTAGGTTAATTACAATACTTCTTTCCTAATTTCTACACTTGAAAGAGATATTTTGAAGTTGGACGGCATTTAAACCGCTAGCTGTCAGCAATTCATACGTCACTTTAAACCTTTTATTTTGAAGTTAAACTCCAGCTTCAGTGAAAACAGGCTTACAAAAACACATCTCACTACAAATCTAGTGAAATGCTGTAATCATCTGCGAAAATAAAGCTTAACTGGTGTCTGTTGTGTTCCCAAACGCAAGCTAAACTCACAGAACGTGTGATAAAGGAGTGGACTGCATTCATTCAGTGTGAACGAGTCGTTCTGAGACGCAGAAAACACCGGATCACGAGCTGATCGTCTGAACCATGTGTGCGCTTCGCTTTGAAACCTGCAGCGAAAACAGACTTGATAAAGCCATATTGTGCTTTCGGTTTGAGTTCGTTTGACAGATACTGTGCCAAAGCATAATGCCTCAACACACAACTTTAAAGACTGTTTATGTTAGAATAAGAAGTTTAAATATATTTTAAAAACTACACTTTCGTTTCATATTGTCATGTGACCATGATAATATTGAGACAGTTTTGCTATCGCGATATCACAATATTAATAATATAGTTACATACATCCCTATGAAACACTCTGAGATTTGGCGCATCAGAACATTCAGTCAAACAGAAACAGCTCAAGACGACACCGTGACATTTTACAATTACAGCGAGCCGGCCATTATTAACAATCTGACTCAACCCATCCTTCACACCACATTTCATGAGCTCTGTTCCAAACAGAAAACATGAGGTAGAAGGAATAAAGGGATATCCTCATTCCTTACTAAACCTCTTGAAACCAGCCTGTTAAGATGCTGTACACAAACGGCCCAGTGTCTGATCCTCAAGACAGCATTCAGAAACACAGCAGGTCCTGGAGACACAGAACGAGGAGGACAGAGTCGAATGAAGGAGAGAAGTCGTATGAGCATTGAATGAGGGATTGAAGCGCCGCTGTTTCACAGAGACATGGAGAAAGTGCAGTGAAGATCAGCAGACAGTTTTACAGGAGAGAGCGCAGGCTGATGCTGGGTTTTGCCTGTTTTCTACATGTTACCAGTGAGTCAGTCTGTTTTCTTGCCAGTCAATGTTTAACTCTCATTATGTGCCCTAGTTTTCAAACAGGACAGATAACTAACCACACATTCTTGTGATCCGAGTCACTGCAGAAAAAAAAATCACAAAATGCGCAATTAGATCCATTTCGTTTTAATTGCTGTGGATAAAAAGTATCTGCAAACCAGCGAGTAATAAACATTCAATCTGTCCTATAGTAATGCTTTCGCAAACACTTTCATACAATGCAAATTAGGGGTGTGCCATATCATACCGTCCACGATAATGCCGGTATACATTTTTACATGATAAAAAAAAAGTGTCATATCGCGATATCAATGATATAGTGACGCGATGACGTATGGCGGATATAAGTTCCCTAGCGCGCACAACAACAACACCACAAACCCAACAGGTGTGTTCGACTTAAAGCAGCGCTGCGCAGACTGATCGGTGTATGACATCAAAGTATCGCGAGAGCGGTTCTAGAGAATGTTCGAGCGCACACTCTTACCGTCAAAAATAGGCGAGGCGCATATCTTTAGCAAAGCGACGCGGAGAGCCGCTTCTGGGCCGCTTCTGAAACGTGCCGCGGCGCCGCTGGTGTAAACACAAGCATTGACTAGAGTGGCCGCGTCAGAGCCCTAACGCCGCAGACGCGTGTAGTGTAAATTAGGGGTAAATAAGGGGTAAGTCACTCTCGCGGTATTTTGACGTCATACACCGATTGGTCTGCTTCAAGTCGAACACACAGCTGTTGCTGCAACCTTATGACAGCAGACTTACACTTCAAATTAGGTAGTCTGTCATCGATGACAGTAGCTCATTGGAAAAGGATGGAAAATGCCTTCATTTTGTTTGCACTAATAAATGCTGCTGCCTGCCAGCTGCAATCACCAACAAAAAATTGTTCCATGTTTTTTTTTCTATATCGTCATAAATATCGTTATCGCAAATATTCTTAAAATATCGTGATATAATTTTGAGGCTATATCGCCCACCCCTAAATGCAAATTAGGTGTGTTTTATCAGTTCACGTCTAATCAGGTTCATAATTACTGCCCAGATCCCTTCCTGATTAAAGCGCTGTTCAACAGGATCAAGGAAAGGAAATATAGCATAATACTATATGAAAAAGGTGTTCTATAATGGTCAGTACTTGTTTTCTAGGAGAAAAAGAACAGAAAAGGTCTGATAGTGATTCATGAAGAGGCCTTTTACCTACAGTATCACACGCATGTCAAAACACGCCACGCTACACTAACATCACACTGTTTCACTGCTTCTCAACCGGTTTGACCCACATTTTACATTGGACATCAAGCAGCGACCAGTACAAAATTAACAAAAATGATTATTAGTATCTTTTATTGCATAAACCCAGCAATACACAGATTCTACAGAGTACACAGGCTGACTTGCCTTTAACTGAAAACTGAGTGTTTAACTATTTTCCGTTTGCATTATTAACACACTATTTTCCTATTTAATGCTGTAAAGCTGCTTTGAAACAATCTGTATTGTTAAAAGCGCTATATAAATAAAGCTGACTTGACTTGACCAAAAACATTGTAGTTTTCCACTGTCCTTACAGTATGAGCATTTAATTCCTAACTGTTCTTTTTCAGTAGTTGGGTTAGTAGTAACAAAGACCCCTCATCTCATCTCATCTGCTAGTCTGTCTGCTGTAAACCTCACTGCAATAGAAGAATTCCTCTAGTTATGAATTAACACACTAAACCGAAGGAACAAAACTCACCTGACTAATGCAAAAGCTGCATACAAACCTCTCTAGACATTGACCCAGTGCCTTTAACTAATTAATTGAGTTCTTACATCACAAAGACTTGTTACTGGAGTAATATTTACACTTCTGTGTGAGGCAAAAAGGTGAATCGCTATTATCAATAAATGTTCTTTAGAAGTTTTATATCTCTGAAAGCTCTGTGTAGCTTTCAGATAATAATAATATTATACAGGACACATTCGTGTAATCCAGATCCCACAAACCCAACACTATCCCAAAACACTGTGAGTCTGACACGGGATGAAACGGCAAAAACACCGACTGATACTGTATCATCATACGAGAAGTTTGTGAAAATCCGAGAAAAGGTTGAGTAACACTTACCGAGCTGCTGCTGCTCCGAATGCGTGTGTGTGTGTGTGTGAGAGAGAGAGAGAGAGAGAGACAGAGAGAGAGAGAGAGACAGAGAGAGACAGAGAGAGAGAGAGAGAGAGAGAGACTTTTGACTTTTGAAAGCCACTTTAATTACCAAAAATATAAACCCATCATACATACATTAACATCATGAACACATTTTTACCCATCATATATTAATTAATATCATGAACACATTAAGGGAAGGGGGAAAAAATAAATAAATAAATAAAATTTCCATTCAAACATAAATCTTAAGAGATCCATCATCATCAATTCCACAGATACATTGATTTACTCCCCATACATTATTAAAAGTTTCTAAATCTTCCAACAAATGATAAAATGTATATTCTATTTTCAGTCTTGATTTTATTAAACCCTTTAAAATTAACACTGCATCAGTTGACCCCACACCACTGAGTTTACTTTTACGTGACAGCCATATTGCCATTTTGGCTTGTCCAAACAAAAAATTAATTAAAACATGAACTTGTTTTCTATTCCAGCAATATTTGGGTCCATAAATAAAAAACATCATAGAAAAAGCCTCCCCCAAAGTTTGACACCATTCCTCTATTTGAGCAAACAATTGCTGTAATCTCGTACATTGACAAAACAAGTGAAAAACTGTCTCTGTTGCTCCACAAAAAAGACACCCTTCCCCTACTTGTGGATCAATGTGTGCTCTGTGTCTGTTTGTAGCTATTATACCATGCACAATCCTCCACTGAAGGTCTCCAGACCTTTTTTCAATTGGAGGTTTGTACAAGGTCCTCCAGCTACCTTTAGGGGAAGCATCTAATCCAAAAAAATCCTGCCACTTAGACTCCTGAGAAACAATAATGTACAGTATGTGAAAAATAATGTGTTTTTTTTACTTTAAACCGCATAAACACATTTCATTACACCAAATACACAAAATAATGTTCTTTTTAGCAGCATCATATGACCCCTTTAATGACCGCTCTCTGATCTATAACATCTAACACACTCAGCAATGTATGTTTCCTAACGAACGCCTTCCTTGAATTACAAATGTGTTTTGTGTGTGTGTGTGTGTGTGTTTTGCAACAAGTAAAACAAGTCAATAACCGACCAACACTGTTATCTAGTGTTCGCATCGCAAGTTGTTTTTTTAACGAGAGGCTTAACTACAGCCATTTGAAGGTTTTTGGGACATATCCTGATTGAAGAGACACTTTTGGAAGTGAGCTGAACTGAATGAGGACATCACTGAATCATCAATGAACTGACTTCAGCTGGAAAAAATGATTGTTATTGTCCTCTTGCATTATTGAAACTATTTTCCTGTTGACACTGTAAAGCTCCTTTGACACAATCAATATTGTATAAAGCGCTATATAAATAAAGGTAAAAAAAATATATCCTAATGACATTGACAAATTAATAATATCCAGAAGAGGATCTATGACTTCTGGAAGCACCTCTTTTAGTAGCTTAGATTGAATAGGATCTATTGGCCAAGTAGGTTTTGATGAGAGAATGAGTGGAATTGTTTCTCAGGGGATCTATAGCACACTATCTGATGTGATACTGTAGTGGACTACAGGAATCAGCATCAAACAGATAAGAGAACTCCATTTACATATTTGATGGATGTGATTGATGTGAGCTGGATTTAGACCGTCATGAGACAGGTTAGTTTTAGCCACCCGCCCCACTCTCCACTACATATTTGGTTCACAACATTATTTCTATAAATATATCTATAAATAAAATTTTTACTTAAATGACCCAAAATAAAAAAATAATAAAAAAAAAATAAACTAAACTGGTTTCATAGCTCCTAGAAGAGAGTTTGTTTAATCTGATGGTGGAAAGGCATTGGTCAACTAACTATCTTCAAGGTTATGAGCAACACGCAGCATGTTAACAAACTTCATTTTTGTGATGATCAAAACACGGGTGTTGAGCTCATGCTGCTGTTGCGTTTACCCTCACACACATTCACCAGAGTAGTTACTACAGTTATTAGCCATCCTTTTCATAAACATTCCAATGATAGAGAAATCAAAGAGATTCTGAAAAAGACTCTTACACAGTTTGAATCATTTATCATATTTATTTGTTATGATCCCAGTGTAGTAATTCATATTTTGGAGGAAACTTTCATTATTGTGGTAAAGAGTTTTGTAAGGGTGGTGCCTTGGACCATATATACAGCTATTGACCATATATACAATCATCTTCCAATAAGTGTGTCAGTACAAGACCGTAATAAAGCGTGACATTTAGACGACACTGAAACTCATTCAAGCACAAGCTCAGCTCAAGAATGAGAGTGTTGTATTGAAACAGTCAAACACATGAACAATGCACTGTCACGTAAGGCAACTATGATTGAAGTTTTCCCAGAAAAAAAAATCTATTTTTATCCATATATGGCTTAAATTGATTCCACGATTATTAAAGTTTTGTAAATAATAAATGAATCAGTAAGGGGTGAAAAACAACAGCGAGCAGCTCAAAGCCCTTTGATATGTGACTCTAAGGCTACTGAAAATGTGTTTAGTGAAGTCCAGTTTGGTCATCTTAGTACATTAATCAAATCAAAACAAACTAGTCCGTATAAATTCTAGAGGTTTAAATTAGAAAAAACATTTAATAACTGAATAAACACTGATCTGCTGCCATTTCAACAAATCTGCAGATAATGAGAACCTGATTTACTGAAGCGTTTGTCACGGAGTCAGCATCAGCTCCAGCGTCGGTCGAGTCTCTCGTGCACCGGGGCTCATCTGGAGAGAGACAAATGCGTGTGATTTTAAGAATGAATGAGCAGTGGCGCCATCTAGCGGTCACACAGATTCACCACTGATCACATTAAAGGGGTCATATGATGCGATTTCATTTTTTCCTTTCTCTTTGGAGTGTTACAAGCTCTTGGTGCATAAAGAAGATCTGTAAAGTTGTAAAGACTAAAGTCTCAAATCCAAAGAGATATTCTTTATCAAAGTTAAGAGTCAGCCACACCTATATACAGTCATCTTCCAATAAGTGTGTCAGTACAAGACCGTAATAAAGCGTGACATTTAGACGACACTGAAACTCATTCAAGCACAAGCTCAGCTCAAGAATGAGAGTGTTGTATTGAAACAGTCAAACACATGAACAATGCACTGTCACGTAAGGCAACTATGATTGAAGTTTTCCCAGAAAAAAAAATCTATTTTTATCCATATATGGCTTAAATTGATTCCACGATTATTAAAGTTTTGTAAATAATAAATGAATCAGTAAGGGGTGAAAAACAACAGCGAGCAGCTCAAAGCCCTTTGATATGTGACTCTAAGGCTACTGAAAATGTGTTTAGTGAAGTCCAGTTTGGTCATCTTAGTACATTAATCAAATCAAAACAAACTAGTCCGTATAAATTCTAGAGGTTTAAATTAGAAAAAACATTTAATAACTGAATAAACACTGATCTGCTGCCATTTCAACAAATCTGCAGATAATGAGAACCTGATTTACTGAAGCGTTTGTCACGGAGTCAGCATCAGCTCCAGCGTCGGTCGAGTCTCTCGTGCACCGGGGCTCATCTGGCATCCAAGCGCATGGACTATTTCCACAAGTGCTAAAGGGTTTAGTTACTCTGACCGAATCAGATGAATTCAACGCTGCAAACGATCACACCTGAATCCTCTCACGCAGTTATTGAGTTAGTTCTGCTCTGAAGCGGACGATCCTCTCCTGAAACGACATTCGGTTCCACAAAGATCTGTGACTAGAACCGACATCGAGTCCTCCAGCAGCTAAACCTCCTTCTGTCCATCTGAACCTCCTTCAGTCAAAGAGAACACGTTCACACACATTCAGAACACAAGTCATGATTGACAGAAGAATTAAAACCCCTAAAGGAAAAGCTAAAACCACTTAAAACCGTGACTCTCTCTCGCGCGACTTCCCTCACAACGCACCGATGGTCTCTATTCCTTTCAGGACGTCGTAGATCTCTTTGGGCAGGATAACGTAGCTGTCTCCCAGCGCCGCGTCCCTCTGGACCTCGCTCATGGCTCTGAAGCGCTCCAGCTGCCTCTCCTGCCGCCTGCACTTCTGCTGCACCGTCTTCAGTCTCTTGCGCAGCTTCTCCATCTGCTCCTGCAGCTGCTCGATGCGTCTCTTCTGCTGCAGCGTGTCCTCCACCGTGTAGTTGTGGTCGCAGGAGACGAAGGCGCTGGTGTGGAGGTCCGGGCCGGGCTCGGCTTCAGACGGACACACCGCTGCATCACACAGCGGCAGGCTCAGAGGAAAGGCCAAGTCTGCGCTGAAGCTCTCCTCCAGAGACGCTGCCTGAGAACAACCCAGAGCAAACGATCAGCTTTACAGGGCTCATATTAGAGCGGGGCAAAAAACTGAAATCTCGACTTTTTCAGAACGTTTGACCAATTCTTGATTTCTACAATTTTAACTACCCTAGAGAAAAATAAATATACTAAAATACATTTGAAATACATTTATTTCATGCTAATTCATGTACTTGATAAAAATACCCTGCAATTGTACTTTTAGAATACTAAACTGGTATACTTCAAGTGTGCTAAATTGGAACAACTATTTTTGTACTTAATACACTTTAATAATGCTGAAGTAGTGCTGAGGTCCGACTACAGATATACTGAAGTATATTTGATTGTGCTAAACTTTAAATATCTTGACTGATTTTATTCAAAGATCATACAATCCTAATCAATAGTGACATTAAAACACATTTTAGGCTTAATATTAAGAAATGTGCATTGTGCACAAGTGATACTAAAATTAAGTTTAATTATAATTTTTTATATCATTAAGTCTCGAGTGATATGTCAGTAAATATGTTAATAGATTTGAACTATACTTAGTATGAAATAAATGTGTTTTAAATATATGACTTTTTTACTAGGGTAGTCAACTTGAATAATGTATCTACAACATGAATCAAGTAACTTTTTCTTTATTAACCTTCTAACTACAGAAAATTCTATTCCAAGTGCATCACACAATGAGTTGTCAACATGATGTAAATGTTATTCTTTGCAGAAAAGATGCATGAAATACCACTACATCTTGTACAAACTTGTCTTATACATATTATATGCTCAGAAATAATACGAGGAAAATGCTTTAAAAAATCTTTAAAAAAAGGTAATTCAAACTCAAAATGACTGAAGGTATAACACCAGCAGACTATTATTAACTATAAATGTTCTGTAAAAACAATGAACAGCAGCTTTCAGTCTGTCACCGTGATGCACACATGAAATATCAGTCATACCGCAGTATTGTTTACAGGTTTTTGTATTCGATTGCGCTGCTTTTCCATTGTTTTTCTGTGTAAACATTAGGGCTGGGTATCGATTCAGATGTCCCAATTCGATTCGATTCTTGATTTTTTGATTACATTCAGTGAATATAGTTTTAATACAAATGCTATTGATATTTCTAAAAAATTAACAGTAAACATCAGTTTACAAATGGCGAATTAATAAAAAGAAATTAAGAACCACATGCCTGTATTTTAAACCTATACTTTTTTTTT